TTTCCTCCTTACCCCCCGCCGCTGTTTCCCGCCACCGAGTTTGTGACGAGTTCCGTAATCAGCAATCTACTTAACCTGTAGTTTGATCCCGTGCGCCGCCGCAGCTCGACAGAAAATAATGACAAGAGGCTCACAACTGGACCGCGTCAGAAAAAAATGAGGGCAACGCAACATCAAATTTTTGTAATTATAATACTAGTATACTAGTATACTAACACACACATTTAATAAACACTAAGCTATGATTTTTTTTTGAAGAGTACGACATTTTTTTTCTGATTCTGTAACATAATGATGTTTATTTCAGGCTTCATTCCATTTCCTTCGAGTCTGTTTCAGGAGGCAACAACTGCTTTTGCGGACACGGAGGGTCGGATTGCAGCACACCCGCGTCACGGATAACACCTCCCGCCTCGCCACTCCACGTCTCACCCTTCAGACAGACGGAACGAATCCTCTCTTAATTACCGAGCTGTCGGACCGCAGCCAATGACAGAGCGAGACAGAGAGACAGCGGAAGAGGAAGAGGAGGCAGGGCGGGTAGAGGGAAACTACGCGCTGCCGTTGCCCTGCGCTTCCCCGAAAGTTCCACAACATCATACATCTTAGTTGAAAATTGCAAAAAATGCTTTAAAAAAAATATGTTTGGCGTTTTCTGCCTTTAACCCTTGTACCAAGTAAATTTACTGTGCCTCGCGTCATTTTTTTTCTGAATGCTTGGGACAGTCAAATTTCAAGGCACGAATACTCTTGTCGCAAGAACCCGGGTAGGAACAGGTATTCTCCGGGTGTGCAAGAACAGGGATGAGTCCCATCGTGGGCTGCGCGTATTAATTTTCTATCATACTGAACCACACGGTACAGTATAACCCAGCCCGAACAACATGCCGCACTGGGCGTGGGGCACCCTGTATGTTTCCTGCCGCTGCACGCCCACCCACGCACCATACACAATACGTTTTTTTCCTTTGCAAGGGGTCGCGAAGTCCCGCACCGTGTGCACGAGGAAACGTTTCTCGTTGCCTGCGGATTTCCGGATGTTTTCGCAAACATGTATCAGGACAGCGGCACTCTCTGTTAGTTGTTACAACCCCGCCCCTCTGCACACACACAAAGAGCACACACAAACACACACACACGAGTGTGTGCGTGCGAGCGGCGTTTGCTCGCGGCTCCAGTAGTAGTCCATACGCCCTCTCCCTCCCCCTGCTGTTCCCCTCGTCCCCCGCGCTCCCTTGCAGCTCCTCCTCCCGATCTTAACGGCCGTCTCCGAATTTATGGAGAGGCTGTATCCTTCCCTATCCGATACATCGTGTGCTCTGCTGCTGCTGCTTCTCCGCTGCATTTGAATCAGTATCGGGAATCGCTCCGCCCAAAACGGGGTTTGCGGTGTGGCTTGCCTGTGCCTGGGCCTGCCTGGTGTGGACCAACTGCGCATCAGGCCGAGGACCGAAGCTACACGGAAGCACACTGTCACAAATATTTTCATTGAAAGAAACAAAAAACTTCATTGCTATGGAGCGGCTAGACCTTTGAATGTTTAAGGTTATAATAAAGAAATTAACAGACAACCATGTATTCTTAATTGAAACGTTGCGCGGGTAGAACTGAAACCAATTTAACAGATAGTTAGTACGTATGTGTTACTCAGATTCATGAAGTAAACTATAGGAGCAAATGGGCGCCTGCGAGACTCAGGGTAGGCCAGCCCGCAGTACAGGCATGTGCTGCAGGCAAGATGGTGCCTACCTATCAGGAGCTATGAGAGCATGCATAAGCCGACATAAATGAGCGTTTTCCCAGTTTCTGTCCGACCGCGCAGACCGCCTGGCCGGTCTCTGCTGACGACAGCCTGCAGGTGAGAGGAGAGGAACGTTTCCCTCTTCACCTCTGACCTGCAGGAGGTCAGCAGAGGCCGGCCAGGCGGTCTGCGCGGTCGGTCAGATACAGGAAAAACGCTTATCTCTGTTAGCTGAACTTGGCAGTTTCGTTCCGGCAAATTGACGGGACGTACTTTTCCCTTTTGCCCTTTTCCGGGACGCTGTCATCAGTCGCGGAGGAACGTCGGCACGGAGATTCAAAGAAGTTCCGTTACTTTCGTTCCTGGAATCACGACTGGAAATGCCAATAGACGCCCCCGTCCCTTGCACCCTGCGCGCGGTGCACCGTGTGCAGTGTGGTGCAGGGCTGCACAATGGCGGCCATGCGTCACCCCGCCGGGGCCATTAGGGTCGTGTGGCCACTCGGGGCGCAGCCACGCCACCTTAAGCGTCCCCGGGCTGGCATCGCTCCTCTACCGGGTTACACTTGGCGACGCACAGCCCGAGGGGGTTTGCACTCGAGATTTCCGTGCACACAGTATTTAGTAATACGTGTATTTCGTCGGTATTTCTCAGGAAAAGTTCACCATTTTGGAGCATATTTGGGCGTATTTCGGTGTATTTCACGTGAAATACCTGTGAAATACCTCATTTGGTGTACACGGTATTTCAGAAGTGAAAACCCCCTCGGCACAGCCCCCGCCTAGACGTTACACGACGCCCCAATAACAGATATCACCGCGACAATTCACCCATTCTCTGTACAGTGTAGTTTTTAGGGACATTTCAGGCAAATGCCTAGCTGCCCCTTATTGCTGTAGTTTCACGTAGGTCACCTACGTGGGTCGTTATTTTTAACAAGGAGGCCAATAAGACGTGCCGAGTGCTCATCTGGGATAGGGCGGCAGCCCGGCGATGGCGTGCCGGCGAGAGTGGTCTCGGCGAAGAAGAGAAAAGGGCGCGCTGAATAACACAGTTGCAAAAGAAGACGGCGGCTCCGCTCCAAAGCCATTTCCCGAGCTGTCATTCTTGAACGATAAAACTTGAGCCGTGCAGTGCACTACGGCCGAACCCTTCGATCAGCCCGGGGGGAAAAAGAGAGAGAAGGGGTCGGATGAAAGAAGATAACCCTTCGGAGCAAGCCTGGAAGGGCAAGAGAGCTCAGCAACGGTTCACTCATATAACACAAAGTAAAACCCTCCTTATTTTGCACTTCTATCTCCAACATAAACATGGCAGCGGGCCACGATTGTAACGCCGCACAAGAATTGTTTCTGTCTGAAAATCGGCAGTCAAGAATCGCACTTAAAATGCTTCAGTCTATTTGACGACGGCGCTTCTTACCTTTTTCAAGTCCTTGTTGGGTTCGCCCTCGTCCGCTTTCCTCTTCTGTGTGGCCGCCAACGAGAAGTCCGACCCGGAGGCCTCGGCCTGCAACAGGCGGAAGGCGCGGCGCGTGAGAGCGACAGACAAAATAACCATTCACTAATTGGAAACGTGTGCACGGTTTGAAAAAAAAACAACAATTAAGCAGTTATGCACACGTTGGATAGGGCAGCAGTATGTCGAGGGAAGCAAAATAACGGGTGACTGACAAACTGCCAAGAAGAGGCGACACGGAGAGCAGGGGATGGGGCGGACGCGAGTGTCACACACAGACTCAGCGTGACAGCTGCGTAACGAGAGCTGGGCGCGATGGCGCGTGAGGCACGGACCAGATTACCTCAGGAGTCTGATTGCTGTTTCCATTACTCCGTTGCCCACCCCGTTCCACCCTCTTGCTGGCACCGCACCGCCTGATGATAATTCCAACGCTCTGCACCTTCTTCAGCCTCCGAGCACGTCCCATGACTCGTCTCCGTGGCAACGGGTCGGGCCACTTCCTCCTCTGGCACCCCTTTCCTCCAGCCATGCAATGCACGGCACGAGCAGGAGTCGCAACGCGTTGGCGACAAGGGGTACACAACGCACACGCGCAACAAAGAAAGGTTTTATCAAGTAAAACGACTCGACGGGCGCAGCTTTCACACGCTCATGTGGAGAAATCCAGCGTAGAGTCGAAGAGACCACACAGAGAAATTGAATGTTCTGTTTCGTACACAGCCTACGCCATGTATGGTTTTCGTAAAGTTTCTTACGAATTATTTATGTACAGATTCTTTCATAATTATGTAAAAATGTACATAAATAAGGACGCAAGAACTTCGTGCGTAAGCTACGCATGCACAGTTAACTATGTATAAACTAGCAGACAAGAATAATTTAGTGCGGCCAGTGGCGGGGCAGAGTGGACGACAGGGTATGGACACATAGACAGGTGACCGGGCGAAAAGGGTACTCTGGCCGGCACCGTATTGGCCGGCCGGCCGACCTCGACCGCGGAACAGAGGTCGAGCAGGGGCGAGCACACGGGCGGGAGAGGAGTCAGCGGCCGTGGCCGCCGGGCCGGACCTGTCCGCTTGGCCTTTGTTCTCAATCCGTCGCGGCGTAAAGTTTTCGTCCTGCGCGAAGTTTGGGGGAGCGGCAAGAGAGAGGATCGGGTGGAAGAGCGCGCGGAGGGGAAAGGGGCGGGCGTGGCGGCGTGGCGGCGTGCCGTGGCACGCAACAGCCGACACCGCGAAAAAAATGTCATCGTGATGAAAAAAGATTCATTTTATATATATATAACGGCAGAGAATAGCTTCAAACCGTTCGGTTAACCGTAACCAAATCTTCTCTTTGACCGCGCGTCTTAGAAATTAAATCATCAATCATATCGACAAGTTGATCGGGAAGCCCAAGCAGTAAAGATAAAGATTATGCGATGTAAGCTGGCGGTGTACTACCACCCCCACGGCGGCGGCAGTTCCCAGACGACTAAAAGCACGGCAGTGAAATTCGATAATTATAATGGGGCAGCCACCGGGGCACCGCTTGTAGCGAGCGTGAGCACCAAGTGTTTTCGCGTCTTTCCCTTAACCTACATTTTCTCTTTTGCCTTTACGGTCCCGTCATCATCGCAAGACGTGCTCGTAACTTCCTCTTCAGCCAGTTCATGTTTCCCCCCCTTTTTTTTTTTTTTTTTTTTTTTTGCCTTCCCCCTCCCTTTTTTTCCGTCAAGGGTCATGGTTGATGTTGACGACGGTGGCGGTGCTGATGATATTGACGGCGCAGTCGGTGGGCGGCAGGGGGGTGCGGGCCGACACGGTGACGGAAGGGGGCGGCCGGGGGCGGCGCAACCCCTCGCTGGGGGGCGGCGGCGGTGGCGCACCACGCTTCGCCGGCCGGACGGGGGCCGTTGCGCCGGGCGACAGCCAGACACACCCTCGAGGCCACTCATCCAGGCGGAGCGCGTCACGCTAAAGACGACTGCTGCCGCGCGCATCGAACTCGGAGAAGTCGGAAGAGATTCAGCGAAGGAAAAGCCGATCATTTTCTGGTCCCGTCCGGTTCGGAGGTACAAAACACAGCTATATCCTTGACTACCATGGGTACAGCTAGTATCTATAGGCAGAGTGTGTCAGTCATGGACACACACGCAAACACGAACTCACACACACAAAGACAGACACAAGCACAGAAAGCAGGAAACTACGCGCCTGCAGACGAAAAATTACTCCGCACAGGAAGCGGAGAGTGGGAAGAGGAAGAGGGGCGAAAGGGGAAAGGTGCGCAGCGGGGGTAAATTAGTAATCATATACCTTCAAGGCTACGGGTCGTGATGAATCGAGAGCCGCTTCGCAGGGGGTCGGGGGCTGGAGGTTGGGCGGGTAAAGGGAAAGGGAGAGGGGGGTTCACGTATTTAGGGCCTACTTAGCCGACTAATGCCCAAGTGGGGTAGAGAGAGAGAGGGGAGGGGGGGGGGAGTGTGTCCTATAGGCACAAAGAGCGGGCGGCCATAGGATTAGACGGGTTCTGCGCGCTGTATGGACGTGATGAAAGTGGAAGTGAAATTACTGAAATTACATACAAGGTTCGATGTGTCGACGTGAGCGTGAGCAAAGTTTACAAGATTGTGTTTAACAAGATTCCTTTGAAGGCAAATGGCTTTGAAACACTAGCTGGCCTCTCAAACCAGTCACAAGACATAAAATATTTGTGTGTTTGAGCAATCTAAAGCTTTCTTACGCCTAATAAGGCAAAGTAAGATTTAATTGCTTAAATACAGTGCCGCGTAAAGATGGCGAAAACGTTAAAGCTACTAGAAAAGACCACCTTTTACTTAATTTAACAAATCCCGCACGGAGCGAAACATTACTCCCGCCGTGCTCCCCGCGCTTGCTGCAGCCGCCATGCCACCCGTGATGGGTCGTAAAGGCAGGCAGGTGGTCTGGAGCAGACGTAATGTCGCTCCGGCCACACGTCCGCGCAGTTAGACGCGTCGCATCTCAGCGCCCGGCTTCTGCTTCGGTCACCACAGCAGCATACCTCACTGGATCGCCCTGACCTGCTGCTTTCTGCTTCATTCACGGCATTTCACTCAAGGACCTGCTCCATGCAGAAAACGATATCTTTCTAACAACGAAATTTGACGTTGCCGAAGCCACTGAAATTTTAGTTGTAACAAATAAAAAAATTCGCTTATGCTCAAGAATGTTTTTTCAAATTTGACAAACTTCTTTTTTAATTTGGCAAAAAATTCCTACGCAGTACTCCACTACTTGCATGGGCCTGAGCAGCTGCTTCTTGCTTCAGCAGCATCCTTCCACTCGCACCACATAGACCTTAATTTCTGCTTGCTTCACTGTTTATTCTACACAGGCTGGGCATGCTTCGCAACCTCCAGAGTATTTACTGAAATTGCATCCTTTGAAATTGCAAAGAATGCAAAGATATTCTTAGTACTCGGCAAAGCCTCTGATAACGTGCTTGCAAATGATGTATTTGCAAGAATTTTACAGTGTCCTAGATTCAGTCACAGCACCCTTACCCTCGCTCATGAACTCGCTGCTTCAGTCGCACTTGGTCACGACACTGGAGCGAGCGTAGGCGGCCGGGAGGCTTCAGCAACCAGCGCGCTCCTCGGCAGAGGAGAGCGAAGAAATTTTGTGACATCAAAGGTAACAGCAGCAGCAGCAGCAGAAAGAAGCATCTCTGCCGTCTCTTTTCCAGACGTGCACCACCACCACGTGGATTTCTGGGGGCGTGTCGTAGCGTGGCACGACCGCGTTCGCCAGAGGACAGCCATCACAAGATGGAGCAAGCCATGGGGCACAGACAGCACGCGGGCGTTCTGTTTGTCACATTACTAGAGCGAAAAAGAGCGGGAGAAACCGAGCGGGCAAGCGAGAGGGAGGCGTTTTGTGTTGTATTTTTTTT